ATGAGGATTAAATAAATACTACATGTAGAAATGTTATTACGGTCAGAATATCAGAGGGCTGGGGTCCAGAGATGTAATTCAGTGGTAGAGAACATGTAGAAGGCTCTAGTTTTGATATCTAGCAGAGAGAAAGGAGGGGGGAGGGGAGAGAGAAAAGAGAACAGAAACAATTTTATAGGAGTTTGAATTAAAATAGCACTTCAAGTAAACTTACATGTCTATGAATCTAAAGTCCTCCTATAAAGTTATATATCTATATATTTTGATGAGAGAGCCAGTGCTTATGAAAACATAAAATACATAAGTATTTTTGAAAATAGATGTTGGGGATGGAACCCAGGGCCTTGTGCATATTAGGCAAGAGCTTTTTTTTTTGGGGGGGGGCAGTATTGGGGCTTGAATTTAGGACCTAGCGTTCTCTCTTGGCTTTTTCCACTCAAGGCTGGCACTCTACAATTTGAGCCACATCTCTTCTTCCCCAATATATTGTAATATAAAAGCACGTTAATTTTTATGCTCAATTTCTCCCTAGCGATACTGTAGACTCCACAGATTCTCTTTAGTTAACTAGATAGTGCAAAAGTATTAAGTATACCTTAATACTTAAAAGTGAGACTTTTGCCAATGAATAATATTTCAAATGTGCCAGACATTGAACTTTCATTGTTGCAGAATGTTTCAACTTATTAAAACTCTTGTATAGGGCTGGGAAGGTGGCTCAGTGTTAGAGCGCTTGCATGCATGAGGCCCTGGGTTCGATTCCTCAGCACCACATAAGCAAAAAGAAAAAAGCCGGAAGTGGTGCTGTGGCTCAAGTGGTAGAGAGCTAGCCTTGAGCTGTGCTGTGCCCAGAGTTCAGGCCCCACGACCGGACCCAAAAAACAAACAATAAAACTCTTGTATAAACAGGAATTTCAATGCAGGCCCAGAATCCTAGCACTACAGAGACTGAGGCAGGAGGATCCTTACTCTGAGGCCAGCCAGGGAGAACCTGTCTTAGAAACACATACACAGGGTTGGGAATGTAGCTTAGTGGTAGAGTGCTTGCCCAGCACGCATGAAACCCTGGGTTCAATTCCTCAGTACCACATAAATAGAAAAAAAATCTGGAAGTGGTGCTGTGGCTCCAAGTGGTAGAGTGCTAGCCCTGAGCACAGAGAGGCTGATGGACAGAGCCCAGGCCCTGAGTACAAACCCCAGGACTGGCAAAACACACACACAGAGACACACACACAGAGACACACACACACACACACACACACACACACACACACACACACACAGAGCAAAATTTACTATATAAATCTCTGGGATTGCCTAAAGCCTAAGTAATCTCCAAGAATGGAAACGCAAAACACACACACAGAGACACAGAGAGAGAGAGAGAGAGAGAGAGAGAGAGAGACAGACACACACACACACACACACACACACACACACACACTAAAACTTACTATATAAATCTCTGGGATTACCTAAGTAATCTCCAAGAATGGAAACACTTAAACCATTTCCCGCAATTCCACTGATTCTAATGGGTAACTAAAAGCTATATGGATGTGGGGGTGGGTAGGAGGGGAGGGCTGGTGGCTCATGTCTATGATCCTAGCTACTCAGGAGGCTGTCACTGAGGATAGAGGTTTGAAGCCAGCCTCAGCAGATAAGTCTGTGAGACTTTTAGCTCCAATAAACTAGGGGGGAAAAAAAGCCTAAATTGGAGCTGTGGCTCAAGTGGTAGAGCACTAGCTTTAAGATGAAAAAAAAAAAAGCACTAAAGGAACAGTGCCTGGGCTCTGAGTTCAAGCCCCAAGACTGACACACACTAAAAGAAAAAAAAAGTTATATGGAAGAATAAAAAGATGTAGGTTACATTTGAATGCCCCCTTTCAACAATTTTTTTTTGGGGGGTCTGGTAGTGGGGCCTGAACTCCGGGCCTGGGCGCTGTCCCCCAGCTCTTCAGCTCAAGGCTAGCACTCTACCACTTGAGTCACAGCACCACTTCCAGCCTTTTTTCTTTTTGCTTATGTGGTGCTGGGGAATCGAACCCAGGGAGGGCCTCATGCATGCAAGGCAAGCGCTCTACCACTGAGCCACCTTCCCAGCCCCCCCTTTCAACAACTGTGTGACATAGCAAAGGCTCAGTTTGCCCCATGAAAGTTAGAATGTGTTTGTGACTTTAACTAAGCATCTCTATTCCACAATACTGTGCAATTTGTGAAATTATGTAATCACTTAATCACAATAAAAAAATTGCAAAAAAAAAAAAATGAAGATTGTTGAGGTGAAACATGCCGTGCCTTGGGTGTGGGGGCCGTGGTGGGAGGTGGCTGAAGGGATGGCTACCTGTGTAAAAATGGGATGATGAACCTTGTTGAAATTGGCTCAGAAAGTGGGCAGAGAATGAGGAAGAGTGATAGAGGAGGTGACTCTAATCAAGACACATTACACAAATGGTCAAAATGAACCTACAGTGAACAATTGATTTATGCCAATAAAAATACAAAATAAAAGGCTCAGTCCCAATTCCTATACTCCTATGTCTGCAAATACCTGCGCTCTGAGATATTACGGACAATGACAGGATGGATGAACTGTTCCCTCTGTCCTCACTACCAAACAGATCTGCTCATGCAATGTGAACATGCATCACATTTTCAGTGCTCCTTCAGCTTTATTTCAAAACCAGAATAGCTTAGAGAATTAAATAATAATGATGTACCTTCAGAGTCAGTAATAAAAAAAGTCTCAATTCAAATTACTTTAAAACTGTGTGTGTGTGTGTGTGTGTGTGTGTGTGTGTGTGTGTACACACTCTGAGCCTTTCCTCTCAGCCTTTTCAAGCTTGCTTACTTTTTTTTTCCTTAAGATTTATTCTCTATCACTTGTACAACACCTCCACTTCCAGCTTTTTGCTGGTTAACTGAAGATAAGAGAATCTTTGGGACTTGTCTGTCCAGGCTAGCTTTGAACTGTGATCCTCAGCCCTCAGTAGTAGCTCTGCAGTAGCTAGGATTATAGGTCTGAAGCCAGCACCAGGCTCAAATACTATTTTAAGTTAGTCTTTTGGTATTCAAAAGACTAACCATGGGCTGGGAAGGTGGCTCAGTGTAGAGTGCTTGCCTTGCATGCATGAGGCCCTGGGTTTGATTCCTCAGCACCACTTAAGCAGGGAAAGCCGGAAATAGTGCTGTGGCGCAAGTGGTAGAGTGCTAGCCTTGAGCTGAAGAGCTGAGGGACAGCACCCAGGCCTAGAGTTCAGGCCCCACACCGACAAAAAAAAAAAAAAAAAAGGCTAAGAATAATTAATTATACTTGGCACACTATTGGGCTTTTTTGGAAATGTATTCCACAGTTTATTCTGTACCTACCTGCAACAAAAACACAAAACTATCTCAAAAAAACCTAAAGTAAAAAAAGAGGAAGAGGATGGCTCAAAGAGGTATGGCCTGATTAGTAAGCCCCCAAATTTAAATCCCAGCACTGGCCCCCACACACACCAAAAAAAACAGTAAATATTCTTTCTTTTCCTTGATATTACCATAGATCCTATGTGATTCTTTTTTCAAAGATTAATAGTTGTCCTTCAAATAACTGTGGATTCAGGCTGAAGACTAAGATTATGTCCTCTGGGGATGTCTGGGGACAGTGGTTTGTGAACACCAAATACCATTTGGTCTCTTGTTTGTTTCTGTTTTTTGTTTTTGCTTTTGTTTTTTGACTGAGACTATGTAGCCCAAGGGGCTCCTCCACCCCATCCTTCTGCCTCGATCTCCTAAGTGCTAGGATTACAGGTATGCGACACCATCCTTGCTTGCTTTTATGCTTTCATGTTAAAACGTTACCATAAGCAGCAAGCTCTAAAAACCCAGGAGGGGAAGGCCAGTCAGTAAAATAGTCATCTGCAGACACTCAGGCCTATATACAACTCACCTAAGACAGAGTAATCGTTCAAAATCACAAACCCAAAACTACCCTCCCATGTTTTGATTAGGGGCTGCGAATTTCCTTCGATCTTAAAAGACAACCTATCTGACCAGCAGGTCTAAATCCTTTTAGGTGTACTGCAATTCTTTCTCTTCCTTTACTCCAGGGAATCAAGGTGAGAACTACACGGTAACAAAACTCTCAGGAAAATAAGTAGCAAAAATTTAAAAACAAAAACAAGACACCTAGGCATCCCACATGAAGGTTATAACTAACATAAACCTCCGCAACCAACAGCCAAGAAAACGATCATCAGGCTGTGCGCGTCCCACTCGTTCTTCCAAAACGAAAACCACAATTCGTACCAACCTCAGGATTCAGATCGAAATAAATGAACTTTAACGTGAGTCCAAGGCCACCATCAAAAGAGAAAAAGAAGGAAAAACACAAAGGAAAGGAAAGGGAAAGAAAAAGGAAAAGGAAAGGGAAAGGGGAAAAAGGAAAGGAAAGGAACTGGAATCAGCTGGCGCAGCTCGCGGGTCGCGCAGCCCGGGGTCGCGCCCCCCTCCCCGGCCCGGCCCGGCCCGGCCCGGCCCGGTCCCGCGGTGCCGCCCTCCGCGCAGGCCGGCCGGCCGGTGACACACCTCCCAGCCCCCGCCGCCGCCGGCCGCCCGCTCCCGCAGGTACCCGGGCAAAACCACTCCAGGCGCGACCCATCTCACCGCGAGTAAAAACCGGCCTAAAGCGCATCCGCTCGCACCCCTCAGCCTTCCAAGAAAGCCGACTGCTCCCCGTTCCTTCGAAGAAAACGCGTCTCTGAACACTCCGTCACAGAAGGACGGGAGCCGCCCGGTGACAGCGGAAACCAGGAAGCTCCCCGGGGGCCCGCCCGGGGCCCCGACCCGCGCCTCGCTCCGCACGCCCGGGCGCCGCCGCGGAGCCGGGCCGCCCGCCCGGAGCCGCGATTTCCGCAGGCCGCGTTGCTAACTGAACAAAGCCGTGACACTGCGCCTGGGCCGCGGCCTCCGCGCCAGGCCTGGCCCGCCGCCCCGCCGGCCCGCCGCCCGGTACTCACACACGCACAGCTTCACCACGTACGCGTAGTACGACCAGACCACCACGAAGAAGATGAAGAGCACCGGCACCCAGCCTACCACACGCTGGCAGCCGCGCCACAGCGTCCAGGGCGCCATGTTCTGCTGGTGCTGCTCGTGGTCACTCAGTTCCTGCTGGTGCTGGACCGGCTCACTCGATTCCTGCTGGGGATGGCCCTGGGGACGGTCCTGGTCCTGGCCCTTCGACTCGGAGGAGCCCGAGACCTCCTGAGGCGAGCGCTCGCTCTGCTCCGCCACTGGCGAGGCAAGGCTACTCCGACGGACGGGGCTGTCCGCCTTCGCGATTGGGCGCCGTGCCTTCGCGATTGGGCGCCGTGCCTTCGCGATTGGACGATGCACCTTCGCGATTGGACGATGCACCTTCGCGATTGGGCGCTGTGTCTTCGGCTTGTGGCGCTGCGCCTTCGCGATTGAGCGATGAGTCTTCTTGACTCCGCCCCTTGGGGCGCGCGGCCCCGGGCCGCCCCCACCCCACATCCCGCCTCCTCTTCCTCCCGCACGGGCCCGGGTCCGCAGCCCCCGCGCCGCAGGGGGCGGGGCTTCAAAGCCCGAGGAGGCGGGGCAAGGGGCGTGTCCTTTCTCGGGACCGCCCTCGGGGCGGGGCAGGGGTGCGGTAGGGAAAGAGAATGGCTCATTGGCTAGGGAGATCCGCCAGGTGAAAACTCTCTCTCCTTGATAAAGATGGAAGATAGGCCTGATAGCCTATCTTATTTTCTTTTTCCGAGAGGGTACGGGGGGTGGGGGCGGGGGACACACTTGAGCAGGTAACCCAGTTTAAATTCTAGTGGAAATGAATTACCTTGACAAGGTAGAAGGTATTCCTTACACATGGTTTCCCCCCCTTAGCACCACACAGTAGGAAATCGTTAGTAGTTGTTGAACAAATATTGGAAGGTTTTTGTAGTTACCCAGTTCTTCCCAACATTTAGTCATCAACTAGATCACATTTGTTTCTGATTTCTAAATGATTGCCACATGTTCTAAGAAGGTATTGACTCTTACCTGAGTTCTAGAAAATATTTCAAATCTATTTCCTTCTTATCCCAAAGCCATTCCAGTGTAGCCACATTGTGGGGAGGGGAAGAGAGGGGAGGAACATGTTCATTCTTTTTGGAATGTTTCTATCTTTAGTGCTTACAGACATGTTAATGTTCTTTGGCCTATAAGCAAAGGATCCAGTATGCTAATAATCTTTTCGTTCTCCATGTTGGTGAGTAATTTTATCCTATCCCTGTAAGCATTATGCCCACCTTTGGTCCTCAGCTCCACCCAGACCTGAGCCCCTCCCATCCCTGGAGTTCGTGCCATACAGCTGGCCCCTCCCTCTCTCCGCCCAGATCCACCTGGGTTCCCATCACTTCCGACCCACAGACCCCTCCTGCTACCTGGTTGGTGGTGGAGGCCATGTGCTCCCTTTTCGGGGAAATATGGCTCCTCCAATAAACCTTATAATAATCTTTCTCCTGTGCCTGGCTGCCTCAGTGTGGTCCCCTGGGATGGATGTGTGGGACCCTTCGATCTCTGCTACTGATTGTGACAACAGAGAATCATTTAAAGACTTTAGCCAGGGTCATAATGACAATCACTCTAGTCATAGTGAGAAGAATGATTTAGAGAGGAGAAAGTCTGCAGTCTGGAGGACCAGAATGGATTGGGAGGCTATAGCAATACTCGCAGTATTAGTTGACAGTGGCCTAAACTAGTCTGCTGGCAGTGAAAAAGCTGATAAGAAAGTTGCTTTAAGCTGAGCACTGGTGACTCATATCTGTAAAATCTAGCTATTCAGCTGTGGCTGAGATTTGAAGATCATGGTTCAAAACCAGCTCAGGCAGGAAAATCTTTTGAGACTCCAATTGGCCAGCAAAACGCTGTAAGTGGGGCAGTGGATCCAAGTGGTAGAGTGCTAGGGACAGCGCCAAATCCCTAAGTTTAGGCCCCAGTGTGGGCATACACACACACTAAAAGCTTTAGAACTTCAGATTATTTTGAGTGCAGCTGCTCTGCTCCAAAGAATAGCAGTGGGGGGGGGGGGGGGGGGAAGGAAAATTCTTTAAGTTCTGGGATAGAACCCAGAATCTTACACATGCTGAGCAATTGCTATATCATTGGGTTAAAAAAAAGTTAATAGAGACTGAAGGATAGCAGGCCTGTAATTTAGGACTGAATCCAGTTGCCAACTGGCCAGTGATTGATCAATTTCTGGTTTTTCAATAATAAATTCTGTGTCTGAACCAAGGTCTGAGTAGAAATAAGGACAAGTAAAGGCAGCTTTGAAGCCATTAGAAGTAATATATATTATATATAATACATATACATTATATATGCAGATATTAAGAATGAAGAAAAAGAAACCCATAAATTTAAAGCTACAATTCCAAAACATGCCAAAAATAGAATTTAAAAAAGATGCAGGAAGTGGAGCTGTGACTCAAAGTGGTAAGAGTGCTAGCCTTGAGCAGAAAAGCTCAGGGACAGAGCCCAGGCCCTGAGTTCAAGCCCCATGACTCATGCACAACACATACACACACACAGATGAAAAGATGCAAATAAAAAACAATCACAAGCTGGAAGCTAGAAGTTCGGGCACCTGTAATCTTAGCTTATCAGTAGCTGGGATCTGAAAATCACAGTTCAAAACTAGCCCTTGGGGCTTGGAATGTGGCTTAATGGTAGAGTACTTGCCTAGTGTGCATGAAACTCTGGGTTTGATTCCTCAGTACCACATAAACAGAAAAAGCCAAAAGTGATACTGCTATGGCTCAAGTGATAGAGTGCTAGCCTTGAGCAAAAGAAGCCCAGGGACAAGTGCCCAGGCCTGAGTTCAAGCCCTAGGACTGGCAATAAATAAAAGAATTAGGAAGTGGAGCTGTGGCTCAAGTGGTAGAGTACTTGCCTTGAGCTAAAGAGCTGAAGGATAGCGACCAGGCCCAGAGTTCAAGCCCCATGACCGACAAAAGAAAAAAAATTTTTTAAATTTAAAAAATAAAAACAAGAACTCTTCCCCCCAAAAAAGTTTTCTTTGCCAGGCGCCAGTGTCCCATGCCTATAATTCTAGCTACTCAGGAACCTGAGATCTGAGGATTGCAGTTCAAAGCCAGCCTGGGTAAGAAAGTCTGTGAAACTCTTATCTCCAATAAACCACCAGAAAACTGGAAGTGGCACTGTAGTTCAAGTGGTAGAGCACTAGCCTTGAGCTGAAGAGCTGAGGGACAGTGCTCAGGCCCAGAGTTCAAGCCCCACAACAACAACAACAACAAAAAAAAAGCATGAAGAAAGGAAAAAAAACCAACAACAACCTAGCCCTTGGCAGAAAAGTCCATGAGATTCTTTTCCAATTAATCATCAAAAAGCCAGAAGTAGAGCTGTATGTAGCCTAAGTGGTAGAGCACCAGACTTGATTCAAAAAGTTAAAGGACAGTGTCCAGGCCCTAAGTTCTTTTTTTTTTTTTTTTTTTTTTGCTTTTTTTGCTTATGTGGTGCTGAGGAATCGAACCCAGGACCTCATGCATGCAAGGCAAGCACTCTACCACTGAGCCACCTTCCCAGCCCAAGGGCCTAAGTTCTACCTCCAGTACCAGCATACAAAAAAGTGAGTCACAACTTGAATTCAGGGGTTGTAGCTGTGGCTCAGTAGAGCATTTGTCTAGCCTATGTGAGGTCTTTGATTCCATCCCCACACCACAGAAAGTAAAAATGTATTTTTTATCTTAAGTAGATTAGAAGATTCTTCCAGTCAAGAAGTCTCCTTCCTGTACCCAGAGGAGAAATATCCTTAGCCTGAAAGACAGAGGGACACCAAGAAGGATCTGAACAAGCCTTGCTAAATTCTTTGTTCCAATCACACTTCTTCATTACTATCTGTGAAACTGCTTAGTTCAAGTTACCCTGTTTCTTTTATCTTTCTTTTTTTTTTTTGTCGGTTGTGGGGCTTGAATTTGGGGCCTGAGCTCTGTCCCTGAGCTCTTCAGCTCAAGTCTGGCATTCTACCACTTGAGCCACAGCTCCACTTCTGGTTTTCTGGTGATTAATTGGAGACACGAGTGTCACAGACTCTCTTGCCCAGGCTGGCTTTGAACAGTGATCCTCAGAAATCACCCTCCTGAGTAGCTAGGATTTTAAGTGTGAGACACTAGCTTCCAGCTGTTTCCCACTTTCTTTGGGTCCTTATTTCAAAGGTTCCACATTCCAAAAGACTTAATATTAAACATATCTGTTTGCTTTTCTTTTGCTAACTTATCTTTCATCATAGGCATTGCCTCAGTGGTGAAATTTCCAACAAGTGAAAAATCTTTTCTTTCCCATGTGACCTGCAATAAAAATATTCTTTCAGAATTCCAAGCCAGCACTGGTGGCTCACACCTGTAATCCTTGCTACTCAGGAGGCTGAGACCTGAGGATCACAGTTCTAAGCCAGCCGTGGCAGGAAAGTCCCCATGAGACTCTTTTTTTTGGGTGGGGGGGTCCGGTTGTGGGGCCTGAACTCTGGGCCTGGGCACTGTCCCTCAGCTCTTGAGCTCAAGGCTAGCTCTCTACCACTTGAGCCACAGTGCCACTTCCGGCTTTTTTCATTTTGCTTATGTGGTGCTGAGGAATCGAACCCAGGGCCTCAGGCATTCAAGGCAAGCTCTACCACTGAGCCATCTCCTGCCCCCCCCTCCCGACTCTTATCTCCAATAAACCACCAGAGAACTGGAAGTGGCACTGTAGCTCAAGTGGTAGAGAGTTCACCTTGAGCTGAAGAGCTGAGGGACAGCGTTCAGGCCCAGAGTTCAAGCCCTACAACTCACTAAAAAAAAAAAAAAAAATCAGAAGTTGGGCACACCTATAATCCTAGCTACTCAGTAAGCTGAACTCTGAGGACCGAGGTTCCAAGTCAGTCCAAGTCAGCCCATGTAGATAAGTCCATGAGACTCTTTTCTTTTTAAACCAGTAGTGGGGCTTAAACTCAGGGCCTGAACACTGTCCCTTAGCTTTTTCAGCTCAATGCTAGTGCTTGAGCCGCTTGAACCACACTTCTACTTCTGGTTTTCTGGCGGTTGAATGTAGATTAGAATCTCTAAGATTTTCCTGCCTGTGCTGGCTTCCAACCGTGGTCCTCAGACCTCAGCTTCCTAAGCAGCTAGGATTACAGGTGTGAGCCAGCAGTGCTTGCTCTGTAAGACTCTTGTCCCAGGTATCCAGCAAAAATCCAGAACAGGAGGCGCAAGAGGTAGAGTGCCAGCTGTGAGTGGAAAAGCTGAGCAGAAGTAC